GGACCGCCTCCAACCTGTTGATGTTCTTCTGGGTAAATGGGTCCCAGACTGAATATGCATAAACTGAAAGTAAAGCGGCTGGACAATGGCTTTAAATTTAAAGGCTCTTTCTTTCACACTGGAGTTGCCGATCTTTAGATTGCGTCTTAAGAACCCCAGGGTCTTGTTTGGACACATTGTTAAAATGCTTGTCCGAGCGGACCTCTTTTTGAATGGTAACACCCAGGTACCGGTACCTTACGGAGGAAGCTGGCTCAAGAATATCGCCATGCAGTTCGTAATGGTAATGTAGAGGAGTACATATTCTAGGGCCTGGCAGTGTCTGGCGGTTGTTTTGCCGCCCTACCATATCAACAAAGGAAAAAAATTCTTACGCCACTGCACTTGCTGCAGCTAATTTAGAAATTCTATAGACCATTCCAAACTGTTGTAGCCCTCCTCAAGTGACGCACATTCCTTACCTTGGCTGTCCCAGGGCACAGTTCAAATTTTGACTAGCCTATAGGCCTACGTAGGAGGATACGCCTATGTAATTATAATTTTATATTATATAACTAGAACTTTTCGATGCTCCTTCAATTTGCTTTCAGTGACTGTGAAGAGGGAGTGTACGTCCATACAAGATCTGATGGAAGACTGTTCAATATCGCCCGCCTTCGTGCAAAGACCAAAGTAAAAAAGGTGCTGATTCGTGAACTGCTGTTCGCTGACGATGCCGCCTTAACATCTCACACAGAAGAAGGTCTGCAGGGGCTGGTTAATCGCCTATCACACGCTTGTAAAGAGTTTGGTCTTTCGATTAGTCTACAGAAAACTCATGTAATGATGCAAGAAGCACCGTCCCCTCCAATCATATCTATTGAGAGTCATAATCTTTCGGTTGTTGATCATTTCATATACCTGGGATCCAATATTTCTAGTTCTCTCTCCATTGATGAAGAGCTCAATATCAGGATTGCAAAAGCAGCAGCAACTATGGCTAAACTGAATAAGCGGGTGTGGAATAATCTCAATCTAACTGATAAAACAAAAATAAGTGTCTATCAGGCATGTGAGCTTAGCACGCTCCTATATGGTAGTGAAGTGTGGACCACATATACCAGTCAGGAGCGGAAACTCAACAGCTTCCATAAAAAATGTCTGAGTCGCATTTTGCGCATTCGTTGGCAGGACAGGGCGCCTAACGTGGAGGACAGGGCGCCTAACGTGGAGGTCTTGGAACGTGCACACATGTTTAGCATATTCTCTTTTCTTATCAAGAGATGCCTTTGCTGGTTAGGCCATGTACGGAGAATGGAGGAAGGACGTATCCCAAAGATTCTGCTGTATGGAGAGTTGGCAGAGGGGACAAGACATATTGGTCGACCTCGCCTGAGATTTATTGACGTTTACAAGCGAAGCATGAGGGAGGCCAATATTGAAACAAACGAATGGGAGTTCATTGCCGAACATCGCTCCAACTGGCGTACAGCAGTGTTTGGAGGAGTGAAAAAGGTAGAAGTTATTCGAAAAGAGGCCCTCGAATCAAAAAGAACAATTCGAAAATCAAGAATTGTCCTGGTTTCAACATTCTCCTGCGAGAGATGCGGCCGTGATTGCCATTCAAGGATTGGCCTAGTGAGCCACTCGTCAGTGTAGAACTATATAGCTACTCCATCGTCTCACGTAGACGGAAGGATGCCATAATAAAAAAAAAAAAAACTAGAACTAGGTCATCTAATCTTGTAATTAAAATGTAGGCCTATGTTGTTGAATTTTTTTTAAATTACAATTTTTGATAAAAACCACATACAGGTATTATGGAATTTGATCACATAAATGCTGTGATTTTTCTTAGAGTCTAAGACTGTAAAAGATTTTTAATAGCGGAACCCCACTTTGGTATCAGATGTTGAGAAACTACGCTGACCAGTACCGAAGACGGCACTGTTTACTAAAGCATTGAGACAATCGCATTTCTGAATGATTTTTTTTTTTTTTTTTTTTAAATTTCAGTCCGTTGGCAGCTCGACTATAAAATATCGAAGTGAGAGGTTGGGGCTATTCGGACCCGGGTCCCAGAAGTGAGAGGTTGGGATTAAAATAATTATTAAAAATATTATTGTTGGGTTGTAAGGCATAATTTGGTATCAAATGAAAGATAATTGAATGTTTGTAAACTTACTTCTTCATTTCAACTAAAATAAACTACCACAAATGAAATCAGAATGGCATTGAGTCTAAAGGGACCCGGGTCCGAATAGCGGCTATGAGTGTCCGAATGCATTTTGACTAAATGCTTTCGGATGCCATTTATGGTAGTTTATTTTAGTTAAACTGAAAAAGTAAGTTTACAAACACAGTCCATATCTAATTTTGTCTTACAAACCCAACAATAATATTTTAAATATTTTGTTTTTGTTGATAAACCCAAATTCTCACTTCTGATACCCGGGTCCGAATAACCGCAGCCATAAAATATTGTCTCAAATGTATTTTTACGCCAGTGATCTAGACAAGTTCACAGAGATCAACTTGTGACTAGTCTAGCAACGGTGTCCGTAATAATAGTCTACTATGAAAATTGCACTTGTCACAACTATTTTATTCCCTTAAGGGTCGTTCGCAAATTACGTGACTCACAATTATTATTATTATTTTTTTTTAATCTAAATTTTTCTAATTTTGAAAAATCTTCATTCAATTAATTTTAAAACCATTAATTTGAGGTCGACATTGGCTCAGGTATTAAAAGTACCGTGAAACTCAGTCGCTCACACCTTATTCGCATAACGAAAAATGACGCAAAAACTGTTGTGGCCATTTTACATTCAGCTTGGGGGCGACTTCGTTGTTTTGCATTTTAAATCAGTTTTCTTATAATGCTACATCTGAATCCATTATGGGAAAATGTTGAAGAATTAGATACAATCTTAGTTACTTATGAAAATTTTATGTATGTTTAGAATTTTTTTTAGGTGTGACGTGACACTAAAAAAAAAAAGGGAGGGGGGGGGGAAGAAATTACATCGGGTCATGATTGTAAATATTTTCCATCAACTAATTAATTTTAAAAAATCTATAACTTAATTTGCATTGAGCTTCTTGTTATTACTGTTGGGACGCCACTGTTACACCAGTTATGTTGAAGAATATGATTTATGACAAAGTTTAAAGATGCAGTCATCAACAATCCAATGAGTGGNAAAAAAGGGAGGGGGGGGGGTAAAAGAATTTGTGACACTTTATGACCCGGGGTGGGGGGGGGGGGCTGAAAAGGTCGCTTTTTGCGTGACGTAATTTGCGAACGACCCCTTCTCCCCCCAAGTATTGCAGGACGATACCAGTTTATAGGTATCGACTTCAAGAAATGAATCGATGCCGTCTTCCCTTTAAAACCCAATCACAAAACCCATTATTTAGCTTGTGCATGTGGGAAGATCTGTCAAGCGTGGTTATTTCCAATAGATGGTAGAATATGTCTTTATTAGTAATGTTTTATTTTTAATTTTTAAATAAGATAGGCAAATCCTTCATATAAAAGGCTCTTTTATAGTGAGTAGCCTTGGAGGATAAAATTATAACTACTGATTGCTGTTGCCTGAGATGTCATAAGGATCTGCACAACAGAGCCAATTATTAAATAAGTTAAATTAAATTCTTTGTAATTCAAAATAAGGCTGCAGGCTTGGTGAACACATAGGGGCCTACTTGCTGTGTGCAAAAGAACTTTTATTAAGTACCCTAATCTAACTTGAATGATGGTATTACCAGTATATTAACATTACATAAGCCTTCCAACTAAAAAAATAAGGAAGCATTAATCTTAATTTTATTTATTTGATACACGTTTAAGAAGCGTTGCAGAGGTGCTACAGCACATACCAGCAATCCACTATCAGAAGCGTTGCAGAGGTGCTACAGCACATACCAGCAATCCACTATCAGAAGCGTTGCAGAGGTGCTACAGCACATACCAGCAATCCACTATCAGAAGCGTTGCAGAGGTGCTACAGCACATACCAGCAATCCACTATCAGAAGCGTTGCAGAGGTGCTACAGCACATACCAGCAATCCACTATCAGAAGCGTTGCAGAGGTGCTACAGCACATACCAGCAATAAGAAGCGTTGCAGAGGTGCTACAGCACATACCAGCAATCCACTATCAAGCCTTTTTGCAAAGTTTTAATTTTTTAAATATATAGCCCGCAATAAGAGTGGTTTAGTGAAATTCAGTTTTAGGGAAAACTTAAGAGATAAATCTGGCTTTCCATGTGTTTTCAATGTGAATGCAGTTGCAGTACCATGGATTTTCTCCATGGAGGACACAGATTTCTTTTATACTGAAGACTTAACTCATTCCTTCAGTTGTTTACCAAGCAAGCAGTTTTGCAATCTAGTCATTTACAATGATAAATTTTGTTAATTGGGCTCATTATGAACTATATAAAATTAACAGCTTTTCTGTGAAAGGTGCATAATAATAATATGAATACATTACACCATTTACGATACTCTATTATTTATAATCTTTGCATTAAAAGTACACTATGGGGCATCTGTTATTTCGATGCATCTTGTACAGCTGAAACAAAAAGCTTAAGGGGCAAAAAAAAGAAAAAAAGGCGTAGTAGAATGCTGCGTACTGTTTTCTTATTGTAAATGATGCCATCCCTCCTGGACATTAGTGTCCCTTACGGTGAGAAAGAGAAAAACATATTTTAACACCCTAATGAAGTACCGTTACGCAGCAAAGCATCACAGCCTGTTTCATCCAGGAGAGGAATCAAATGATGGCATTTGTTCAAATCAATTTATTCAAGTTGTCTTATGTATGCAGCCACACTAACATTCCAAGTTAAAGAGTCTGCAAGGCTTTACGAGGAAAACACACAGCACTGAACACAAACAGTGCAGAGGAAACCTGGCTCAGGAATACCTGCCTTGAAATTATTGAGGTATCATGGATATGACCTAATGCACCAATTTAAAATTACACTATCTAGAAGGTCAGACTAAGAGGCTTACAATCAGTTTACATTTGTTGCAATTTATTGTTTATTTACTCAAAGATATGACAAACATGTACACATTCTTCAAAAGGAAAAAAAAATAAATAAATAATGGCTTCCTTGCTCATTGCTACACATATCTATCGCAATTTTTTTTTAATGGACAAACTACAGGCCAAAAAATCAACATTCATCTGTTCAAGAAATCTAACTTAAAAGTCTTTTTAAAAACAGTATACAGGCCCTTAACAAAGTGCCTCTCAAAAATGGTTCAACACTATTGCAAATTTATGGTTTTGTTCAATTTTAATTTGCAGTTTTCAAAATTCAAAAATGAGAGGCTGTATCTTTCATTTAAATAATCCATTAAAAAAAAAAGGTCTTTTTTTTTCAAGTCTTGATGTGTACATACTTTCCGGGAAGGTGCTCGGCCCCGCACCCAAGTCAATTTTATATGGGAAAGTATATGAGAATTAAAAAAAAAAAGTGATAATCATGATTTATCTGTCCATTTTACCTAGAATAAGACAAACACGTAGCCGTCAGGATGGAGAGTTTCAAAACCCTGTTAGCAGAGAGGCTTGTACATCTCGTATGTATACTGTACACATTGAATATACTCAGGATATGACTGCTAAATAGCCTTGGATTAACTGTACAATACCAACACCCCCCGGTACCATTTACATGAATCAGACGTACGGCTTGCACACACCCACCACGTACGATGGACAAGCATAGTTTGACATACGCACTTATGAGTGAATTAAGTTAAATACAAGCAGGCACACACATAGGATAGCTTCGGCGCGTAATGCTAAGACACGGGACATCAAGTTTTTTTGTTGTTTTTTTTAAACGATATCTGAAAGCGCTGTTTGGTTACGGATGGACACAGGCAGAACAATCCAATAAGAAAAATCCATGGATATAATTTTTTAAAAAATCTCATTTCTGGTATGCCCAGTTGGGCATTCAGTGCTCCTCAAACAGGATGTTAAAGTAAAGCTTGTTTTTAAAAAAAAATGTATGCAGCACTACCCATCTCTATAGGCATGATTTTAATTGGAACATCAGCAAAACATCGTACAGTGCTTTATGTTGACACATTTCTAGCTTAAGATCGAAAACATGTTTGTGTCTTTTTTTTATTTTTTAAAAGAGAATAAACTGATAGTTGCAATTTGATTTTGTGCACGGAATAAAGCTTTTTACACACAAAATATTAACACTGCAAAAATACCCTGACAATTAAACCCTTGGTGGCTATGAAATCTGTGCAGCACTGACCACTATTGTGGACATGTAGACCACTACAGTGGACACAGGTAGATCACTACGGTGGACATGTATTCCCACCAGAGCCTGCCCCTTGCATTATCAAAGCATGCTAAACATTATTACAGAGTCATTAAGAAAAAAAACATAATTTCAGGTGAACAATCATGAATGGTAGTAGTTAATAAACGCTCTTACGATTGAAAAGTGAAAAAGGTTGTGCGAGAAAGAAGAAGAAAAAACAAAAACAAAGCAAAGATCAACATTCATCACTACTGATCAAATATTCAAAAATCAATACAACCATAACAAAGCAAGCTTGTTTTTTTTTAATAACAGACGCTCTACAAAACTGTGCTGGTACAAACACACTCTACAAAACTGTGCTGGTACAAACACGTGTTTGGTTAACCTAAGTAACGGGCGTTGGTATTTTTAAAATTAGGATATATAGAAAACCACTTACAGGCTTTTTTTCTTTTCTTGCCCAGCCTACAAATCTTGGTCGAGTATCTCTGGGTTTTGTTTTCAAAGAACAAGCCAGTGAAGTCTTTTATTGGTGATGCCCATGTTAAATGCCGGTATTTAATCATTGTGACAGGACTCAACTAAAGAAATCAAATAATGGGAAAATCTTAAAACCCCACGTCTAAAAAATTATTAATACTGGACCCGGCTCTTTTAGTGGATGGAGTCAAAATTGATACATGAAATTTCATTTAGGTAAAATTCAGGCGGTTTACCCCCTTCTTTTTATTTAAGGCTACCCATAGTCTAGTCCTGCCAGAAAATAAAGACAAAGACAAAAAATGATACACTGCAAAATTTACTGACTTGAGAACAACAAGAAAAATATTCATTGGTCCCCAAAAAAATAATAAGTTCTGTAACGTGTTTGTGATGCAAGCGGATAAGTCAAAACCCAACGTCGTGAATAGCCATTTTAAGTGGTCCAAGATAACCACTGAAAGATTTCGCGTGGCCAAATAACCCCAGAAGATGGTAGTGGACAATACTAACGGTGGACTGGGGAGGAGGCACATGTCCCTCAAGCAGACATTTTCAACTTTTGGGATGTTTTGTAAGTGAGATCCAACTTGTATAGAAATAAAAAGAGAAAGAACTTCTTTGCCGCCCACAGTGGGGCTTACTCCTGTCATATATCACCACTGCTGTATGCATTTAAAATAAAAAGTGCACATAAACTTCAGTGGCCATCATGCAATTTCTGACGAAGAGTTTGGGAGTTGAACATCTTTAAATTAAAGAGCTACGTACAAAAGTTTTTGTTGTTTTTTTTGAAAGAGAAAATTTTTTGTTATCTTTATTTTTAAAAAATGTGCAGTCAAGCGATGTAAGTACTTTTTTTTTTGTTTTTGCCCTCTCACTACAGGGCACACCCATTGTAAGCCCTTCCTAAATTGAATATGTTACACGAATTCATGTGAATTTCTATACAACGCGTATGTGTTCTTCATGATGAACTGATCGTCCTGTCAGTTAACACCTGAGGAAAATTTCATTTATCTTCATGCAATAACTTTCTTTTTTCATAAAAAAAAAAAAAAGATGGAGGTTTCTAGAATATAAAATGATTACAACAATTATATCATTTAAATTTGAATGTTAGGAATAGCCAAAAAATACAGAAGGTTGCAAGTAATTTTAAATCCTCGGGCACGAGTTGTAACTATAATTAACTCGAGCATGAGTTGTAACTATAATTAACTCGGTTGTTTTGTTTTTTGTTCCTTCCCACATTTATTTGCCAGCGTGCTGAGCATACAAATGCTTTATGGGAAAATGATTACAACACACCACAACTTTTATATCACAGGGTTAGAAAGAAGAAAAGAAAAAAATGCCAACAATATTTCTCTCACCCATTTTTTTGTCACAATTTACACCATTAAAACAAAAATTCAGGTTGCTTACATTTAAAAAAAAAATAAAATGATCAAAATCATATACATGATTTGGTTTTTGAAGAGAACAAAAAAATCCTTTCAAACATGTCATACTTCTCTTCATGCTGTATACTGCGTTAATTTAACTGTTGTTTTGTTTTTTTTACATCAAGACATTCAATTGTAACCCAGCAAACAATGAACCGCTAGAAATGATGTTCATGATACAAATAATGATGCTTTTAACAGGCCACAAATGAAAAGATTAATCATTACAGCAAAAAAAAAACACAAATTTTTCATTCATCATATATTTCTTCTGTGATGCATGCAGTAGAAATCAAATAAGGGACAAAAAAAGAGGGTATTAAGAAATAATGTTTAAAATTCCTATGCTGAAATGAACATTTCAACAAATAATCAATCCAAGCCATTCAGTTGCTACTTGGTCAAAGTCGTTGGAGAGGAGTGCTTTTGTTCACTTTCCAACCTGACTGATCAGATTTTGCAAGACCGTTACTAAGTCTAAACAACAATTCATGATGGCATGAGATCATTACTTTCATGCCCTCAAGATTGTAGCGTCCATTCAGTATCCGTATACTGAAAAAAGTATTTGAATTTAATGAAGTCTCTCTCTGGGCATCTACAAGTTGCATTCACGCTAGCGCCATTCAAGTTTTCTTTAAAATGATCAATGGTGAAATATAACTTAATGACTTATCTAATATAAAGGGGATATATAAATCATCCCATTGTTTCTAATCTCCTGCTCAAGGGTTTTGTTTTTTTTCCTTAAAAAATATAGAGGTACAAGTAATAATAAATAAGTAAAATTATAGAAATGTTCAGGCCTGGTCTTTGGGAATGAAAAACTCATTTTTCTTTTGTCGAAAGAGGTCAAGGTATATCTCATTAAATATTTATTACATTTCCATCTCAGCTCACTTGGGAAAATGTATCCCCTGGCTGAAATTTCATTTTATTCTAGGAGAATCAAGAAATTTAAAGCTTTTTATCAACAAACTTTTATCGTCGCTCACACTATTTTCTAGAATGTAAAAGTGATGGTGTATTAATTAATTTTTTAGAGGACTTTTTTATGTTCTTTTAAATATTTGTATCAAAGGTTACTGTGATATGATCAATCATATTCTTTTAAAAGCCAATCAATTAAGGTGAGGTTTCTTTTAAACACCATCTATGAGTATTCCAAGGCTATCTTTCCACACAAAAAAAGGGGGGAGGACACAAACCAGGAAAAAGAGAACTAGATAACTTAAAAAGTCAAGTCATTAAGAGCAGCACTGTTTCTTGCCTTGAGTCATGTTAACAGTTGGAGCCACTGTGATTGTCTGGACATTAGAGCTGGGAGAGTTGTCGTCATCAGGCGAGTCTCGAATTTGTTTCTGGGATACTATCTTGTAGATTTCTGGGAAAATAAAAGAACATTCTTAAGCAAAAAAAACCCACACATGAATAAATTCTCTCATTTGCTGATCGAAGGATATATATTCAAAAGATTGTGTGACAAATATTTGCAGAAAATGATTTGACATTGTATAGTTAACCCCAATGAATGACAGACAGCAAAATTTAAACATACACAAAATAAATACATAATTTAAAACACTTAGACAAACAAAAAAAGTATAAAACAAGAATAATAATATCTCAGATCTCAACGTACCTGTAAGAATATTATGAAATGCTGATTCCACATTTGTTGAGTCTAATGCCGAAGTCTCAATGAAGGACAAGTTGTTTCTCTCTGGAAGTTGTTTTGAAAAATAAGTTTAGAGTTATAGATAAGCCTTAAAAAATAACTTGAAATAACAATTACTCAATATAAATTTTGACAAACATTTTAATAAAATGATAACTGGTTGTACCAATCTGATTTTAAACCAATTAAGAATGGTTGTTTTTTTTTGGCTTGCATAAAAAATATAATAGATTTTCTTAACAGTGTGTGAAGAGTGTGACATTTTAACTTCCAATGGATCTGCATTTTTACCAATTATCATCAAGGTAGGATACTGAGTGGAGTGCTGCACCTTTTGATAAATGACCGAGTCACTTTGCACAAATTAATTATTAAATTATTTTTAAAAGTCTGTAATTTTTATCACTGGCACTTCTAAACTACAAAAATAATGTAGAACAAACAAATAATGAAAAATCTGAAAAGGTTTAGCATACCATGTAATGTAAATAAATTATAAAACTGTAATATGTAAAAAACAAAACTTTTTTTTAAAAATGGATGTTTGCCTCTAAGAAAGCACACCAACATTTTCAGTGAGCTACTACATATATTTAAAGAATATTTTCTATAATGAAGAAAATTTAAATCTTCTAAGCCAGGGGTCTCAAACTAGCGGCCCGCAAGAGGGTATTTTGCTGCCCGCTATATGACAGCAAAGTTTAATGTTAATGCGGCCCACGCGTTTTCCCCATTCTCATATCTACAACGTGACCCCCCCGCGACGGTTTTAGTAAAATCTCACCGACTAGTCTAATTCTGATTTTTATTTTATGTTTCGACGTTGATTATAATGGTAAATAATAATGTAATAAATCAGACTTCCTGTTTTTATTTTATAGCATTTTATGCGACAAATATGGCTTAAGGGGAGGTGCGGGTGAGAAATTGACGAAAATGGCAAATTTTGAATAATTTTTTATTATTAGTTATTTGGTTTTATTAACCATTTCTTTATTACATTTTTATATTTGTTTTTACAAAAGTATGTTAGAAAATATAATAAATTACATATTTCCTGATCCTATCAATCAGAAAAATGTCAATATTTTCCTTCTTTTTTTTTAGTGTTTTTACCCCTTTGTTATGAGTATTTGGAATCGCCCAATCCCTATGTATTTGGTATGGTTGGGAAGATGGTGATTTCGGGGTCAAGATAAATATAGCTTATGATCACAAAGAAAATTACAAAAGCAACCGAACCTTTCGATCGCCGGTAATGTCTAGCAAAATATGGTATTTTCCTGTCCTACATCGTGTATCACGTGATCAAAACCTGACCTTTGAATAAAATAAGCATTTTGATTGGTTCCTGTGTAGGAAATCTGTTTGTAAAGGTCACTTCCGGTATAAACAAACTGTATCTAATTTCGTGAGACCGAGCAAGTTCGATATGTAATTTGTCGGTAATTAATTCATTTGAGGAGTTAAAAAACAACTAAATAAGTAAATAACCACACAAAATTAGTTGGCTTTGATTAATTGCCATAATAAACATGATTAATGCTTCTCCTTTTCAGAGAAGACTAAGACTGAGTACACTAAACTACTAAGACTAAGCCTAATCAATAGTGCTAGTCGCTTCAAGTACAAGCATCGCTACGCTACTTCACCAGCAGGAAAAACATAGACTTACCAGGTAAGTCTTAAAAATCTATTTTTCATTTAGATTCAAATTCAAAGTACGGTATCAATTATTCATAAGGCTAAGCCTATACTGTGCTCACTATAGATTATAGACCATTGAATGAGGGCTATACTTATACTTTTTTTTAAATTATATTAGAGTTAGAGTAATAGTAATAAACACTGTTTCTTTTGTGAAGTGAACTGTAGTAAAAATAAAACTATAAACAATTTATGAATTTAGTTATTGTGACATTTGTCTTACACTGTCCTATATTTATAGCTATTAAAATGGTAATATGAAATTAAATGTAATAAATTTCTCATTTTTTTTATTGCATCCCAAATAACATTGTCATTAGTGTTATTTTATTTTAAAGTAAAGTAAGAGCCCTAACAAATTTTGCTTGAAATACGTGTCAACAAGTATGACCTATCAGTCATTAATTTCATTATAGCCTTATATTTTTATTGAGAAGCATTTAATAAAAATATCTAACTACAAGTTTATTTTTTTCAGGAATGATTGAGGAGACGTGCAATGAGTTTGCGGAACACAACAAACCACAACATGCATTATATTTCCTGTTGATAAACTACACTGATCTGTTGTGCCTAGGTCCATTTAGCCCAAAGGACAATATGCACATGAAAAAGAAGGAGTGCCCTAAGTGTATTCCAATGTTACAGATTCCTCAGCGCAACATATGTTCGATGCATCGAAATAAAAGTAACCTCAGGCAGAGGATGCAAGATAAGACTAACACAGATTACATCACAAAACTCATTATGTGTTATTCAAGGACAAAAAGAATAAGACAGTAGTTGAAAGGAACATATCAATAATTCCCTTATTTTAACATTGTATCTCTATGCGATGTGATTTTCAACATGACGAGTGTCAAAATTTGATACAGTAACTAATTAGATTTTACAATGGAGTTATTGCTCATGAGTTTTCTGGCTCACACAAAAAACAGTTAATATGCTTTTGTGGAAAAATACATGTTGCAACTCAAGTGATTCAAAAGTTGTGAGATAGAAATCAGAAAATTTACAACTGTCAATATTCATTCCGTCATTAGAACTCATAGAACTTACAATTTTTTCTTTACAAGACCAAGAGTTGCATTTTCAGCATTCATGGACAATGCCAAATAACTCTTTGGAATTGCATATTTACCTAGCTTAATTTTATGATTTTGCACACTTTTATAATGCCGAAATTCTCCAAAATAAGCGAATTATTATTTTTTCGACAAATGCAGAATAATAGATAAAAATATATCAATCACAGTGAAAAGTTGAGTGGTCAGGAAAAAAGAAAAATGGACCTGGAAAAGGATTGAAAATGTCCACAATAGGCTAATAAAAAGTTTTTATTCCAATCTTGGTATAAGATTCTTATTTTTCATTGATATTTTCATTGTTTTTGTTGTTTTTCTTCGTTATTTCAGTTTTATTGTTTTCAATATTTTTGGTCACCAATATCCCTATAACTTTTTTATTTATTATCCAAACCTCACCAAATTTTCACAGTATGTTTAGTGACCAATAATAAACATTTGAATAACCTAGAATTAAGATAACTATCTTAGAAAAGAAAATATGTAAAAAAGAATTCACCCACACCCCTATTTTTTGCATAAAAAATGGGGTCACAATTTCTGACCCTGTAAATTTATAACCAGGCATTACATCAAAAAGTCCTGTTATACAAAGTTTTATTATAGGTTAAATAATCTATTTTTAAAATCTGATAGCAATAACTTAATATTTGTAAAAGCCTTAGTGTTTTAAAAAACACTAAAAAAAATAAAAATGGCGGAGGTTTTTATGGGCTACAAAGGCAACCAATGGAATTTTTTTTTTTTGAAAACCTGTTTTGTACCTCCATTAAAATACCAAATAAGGTGTAGTTAAAAAAAATCCTATATGAAGCCAAACACAAATTTTAGATTTTTCACCCACACCTCCCCTTATGTAAGTTTTGAGAAAAGTTTAAAAAGTCAGTGTGTAATGCACAACCATAATTGTATAAATCGTAGCAAACTGACACAGTATCAAAGAATCACTATTAAAATTGCCACTAGTGTTTACGAGTGAGGGAAATTTGGAGCCTGTCAGCTTGGTCACTTTAAAAATACGGTTAGTTAAAAGGCATTTTCTTCTATTAAAAATAAAATTCATTCTCCCTACAATAGCATCTTCCATCGCATCAATAATTCATAAATATTGCCTGCCCTTGCCTACTGTTTGAACAGGTTTTAGCCTTCAAAGCGTTCAAGGAGAAGGATGGGGTTGTTGTCCTGTACTAAGTGATCCCAAATGGCTCATGGACTTGGATTTTCTTGTTGACATTACAAAGGAGCTGAATGTACTCAACAAGGAGTTACAAACCTGGGGTAGCTTGTCAGTGGTTCCAATAACAATGTCAGGGCATTCTGTACAAAACTTGTGTTATGATTCTTAGAGAAACCTCTGCCATTTCCCAACATGCAAAAAACTCATGGACTAGGACCGCCCCGTCAGTAGTAAGTATACTGAGGTTATTGCAAAGCTACAGGAAGAATTTGATCACGTTTTAAAGATTTCAAAACAGACAGAGCGACTTTTCAACTTTTTGCTGACTATTTCCCTTTTAATTTGGAAGATGCAAATCGCTTTTTTGTGTGGAATACTTGATGTGGCCCAGTCTCACTCAACTCTACCTCCTGCGGCCCCCGGATGATTTGAGTTTGAGACCCCCTTTCTAAGCCATTATATATTATTTTTGCTTCAAAAGTGAATTACTAAAAATGTAAACATTCCTTTTGTTAAAAAAATGTATTCAATGTCTTACCAGCAAAATTTTTAGCCTCGTCTGTCGGGACAGCCCGAAGATGTCTCAGGTCACTCTTGTTCCCAACTAACATAATCACAATATTTTGGTCTGCATGGTCACGAAGCTCCCTGAGCCACCTTTCTACATTTTCATAAGTCAAGTGCTTGGCAATGTCATAAACTAGAAGGGCACCCACTGCTCCCCTGTAATACCTGAGACATGCATAGTACAGATGGATATTAGAAACAATAGTCACATGAGTAAAAATATTTTTACAGACTTAACATGTTTACTTACATAAAATGTGAATTAGCTCCTTTAACTTTTTTTTATTTTAATTGATTAATAATCTATTTCCTTTGCAATTATAATGAAATATAATGCAGAAATAATAAAAATAACAAATATTTAAAAACACAAACTGCTAATACAACATAAGATTTTAAAATAAATAAATACAAAAGGAAGGAAAAGAAAAATGTGCCTTTTCATTTATACCTGTATGCTATATAACATATTAGTCACAGGTAATCTAACTCATTCCCGATGGTTGCGACTAAATGCCTCCTTAGGGGGTTTTGACGGATGTGTCCAAATGCATCCCGGCGCATAGTGACACACTTCTCTCATTTCTATTTAAAAATAACAATGAAATCTTGCATCCCTCAAGACTTCCGGTGATTGTGTAATTCAGCGTGATTTCAATTTAAAAACGGAAAGTTTTATCTTGTTTCAATTCAAAACTATGTGTGCTTTAGTCCAAGGTGCCGAAAATCAAATTTTTGATCATTGTTCGCTATCTTTTCACCACTAATGTTATATTTTTTTAATCCGCATCCCTTTTTTGGTGCATTTGTTCATAATTCATTAACATTAAATAATATTAGCAGCTTAAAAATTTTTTTTACTAATGTAAATCAATTACAATTTCTCAGGCAAATAAATTAAGTACGGAAGTAACTCTGCTGTATGGAATGAGTTAAGGGGGAAACGGTAGTCAACTTTCTATAAAAATCACGTTTTTTTCCAAAAACTGTATATTTGGTTACCGGTACAATAACTTCTTATAAACACAACCCCCCCCCCCTAATAAAATTTGTTAAAAATAATTGCTCAAAGTACATAATTTGTCCTAATGTGACATGCACCTAGGTAACCATTTCAGGAAACTGGGCTTTCCGGCACATTATGGTCATTTTGATACGGTAGTCAACTTTCTATAAAAATCACGTTTTTTTCCAAAAACTGTATATTTGGTTACCGGTACAATAACTTCTTATAAACACAACCCCCCCCCCCCTAATAAAATTTGTTAAAAATAATTGCTCAAAGTACATAATTTGTCCTAATGTGACATGCACCTAGGTAACCATTTCAGGAAACTGGGCTTTCCGGCACATTATGGTCATTTTGAAACCCTTAATGACCACATTGCTTCAAGCCTAATGCTAGACCTTTTGGAAAGCTGAGACCACTGGCTATCACTATAACTTACGCGCTTGTTATAGCCCTGTATCGTTCTTGACCCGCTGTATCCCAAATTTGAGCTTTTATTGTTTTTCCATCCACTTGAATACTCCTTGTAAAATAAAAACAGAATAAAGCAATAATAAAAATGTGTTCTTTCAATTCTGCTACAGATATCTGAAAAGGTTTCACATTTGCTCAGTAATGTGATACAGGCACAACTACTCAACAACAACTCAGAAAGTTTGAGGATTTAGGAATTCCAACCCGAAAAAAATAAAGAAATACAGCTAGTGAAATAACTAAGTGACAGTCAAATCACTGTAACATTATATTAATTCTGTGTGTGTGTGTGGTGCCCCCCCCCCCCCCCCCAGAATTTTGAGTGGTTTTAACATTTTAATCTTAGACGGATGGATGTCGTTGAAAAAGATCTACAACTGCTGCGAATCCAAGCATGGAAAAGAAAAGCATTAGTGGAAGGAAGTAGTCAGTCAGGCCAAAGCCCTACGTGGGCTGTAGTGCCACAGGGATGGATTTAACATTTTAATAATATAATTAAAATACCTAAAAATTTAACAGACTTGAAAAAAAATATCATTAAACAATTTAACAATAATGAACTAAAAAATAGAGCGTATGGTGCAGAATTTAGGAAGTGTGCGGTTAAGTTAGTTAAATTAAACAATACATTGTAGTTTACCCTTAAAAAAATAGAAATGTCAAGTGAACAAGACATACGAGTCATACTATTGCAGTGTTGGTTTTAAATCTTACCTAGTTGCAAACTCAACACCAATTGTACTCTTGCTTTCCAAATTAAATTCATTGCGAGTGAACCGTGACAATAGATTACTTTTGCCTACACCAGAGTCACCTATCAAAACAACTGAGGAAATAAAGATTGAAAAAAATGTTGTCATAAATTATCAACTATTTTATGTAGTCAGCCTTGAATACTCTATGCCGAAACATCCTAATCTTTTTGTTCTGTTCTCTAATTTAAGCTTCCACATACCTCATTTTTCTATTTCATTTACTAGGCTTGAATGTAGTCCTTTAATTTTAATTATTATAACTTGTAGAGGAACCATGAAATCTCTTGTGTACATTCATAGTTAAATAGTCAGTTTTAAACAAGAGTTTATTAACCTGGCTTTGTATACACACACAAAAATGGCTAAAATTTCATGGATTGGAAACTATTTCTTTTCATTCTATGTCTTAAGTTAATATCCTCAGCATATTTTCAACAGTTTTTAAAATGACCCTCAAAGGCAATTTATTTAAATAGTAGAACAAAGGATGTGGAAGCTTGAAACAGAAACACAGGACACTGAAAGAAGAATATTTCAGCTAAGAGCCTTCCTCAGCAGACGGGACAAATGAAGAAATTACCGAATAACAACTTCTGGCAATAATCAATGTCAATAACATTAATGGTAATCACTTACGTTTTTGAAGTACTTTGTATTAATTGATGTTTCTTCATTCGTCTACTTTGTCATCAAATATTTTAACACAGAGAGATGTGATAAAAGTCTGTGTTCTGAACAGTTAAGTGATACCCGGTATATTTGATTTCAATAATAAATAATTGACTCGACTCATATCAGAATTTAGAGATAGGCCTTGCCTTACTCTTCATGAATATAGGCTAATACTATTAGGCCTAAACTTTACACTTTAGCCAAAAGTAAAAGGGCTTTTTTTCAAATCTAGGGATTGCTTAGACATAACCTTAGAATGAGGTCATTGAAAAGGCATGACAAATTTCCTTCCAACTAAATCTACGCAACCTAATTCTGTTTCTGTCCAAAGCATCTTAGCTGAAATTTCCATTTTAATTGTCTTTCTTTTGGTTTTTCTCTTTTACCCAGTGTTTATTTCTTATTGCTGTTAAACATGGTCATGGTCCTCCCCATATTTCTCTAGCTAAGTATATTAGAGTTGACTACTTCCCGAATAAAAACTTGGCTTTCTCTGAATTTACCAAAAACTTGTCTAATCAATATTATTGAATTGAATCATAGTTCATAGAAGATATGGCTAGGTAGAATAGTAGAATTCAGAAATGATAATAATAATATAAATATATACAAGCCACTTTGCTGAGTAGTTTAAACATAACTCCCAGGCACTGGATGGTTGTTAATATCTGAGTGTAACCAACATAGTACTAGAAATCAAGAAATAGTCAGCTTCTGTATAGATTAAATATGTAGTCTGTACTCCTAGAATTAGAAACTGGTCGTAGTAGTCATAAGTAGTCCTGGTTGAGAAAACCGATAACTTACTATTAGTTTTTACGTTATTTCCAACCTCAACTTTAAAAAAAGACCATTCTCGGTTATGTAAAACAGATCCTACAACTCAAAAACTAATTTAACATTTATAAGCAACCTAAATTATTCTTTTAGTTAAATACTTACCCTTGAACAAATAGTCATATTCGTCATCTTTGGTACCCATTTTGACAGAAAATGTTCGCTTCCGCTTTGGCGATAGGTGTAAACAAACAATTTTATGCCCCGCTTTTTTAATATGAGGGAAGCTAATACAATAAAAATAAAACTCCACGGATTCTCCTTAACACAAAATTTGAAAGCAATTATCAATAAATTGCAGATGGCGTTGATTTTACATGAATAGAATTACCCTACAAAAGGAATTTTTCCAAGCAAAAACAAATATGGCGGATGTTCAACGCCCCTAGTTTCATTGCGCATGAAAATGACGTCATATCTTTTAACAGGAAACAAGAGTTGTCTTCCAACTCCCCTTCCCCCCCTCCCCCCCCCCCCCCCCTTTCCCTCAATCTCGCTTTGTGGTATACATATCTCCTAAATCATAACGCAATAATTAATTGCCTTAGATATATTTAAATAGTGGTTAATTAGACACAAACAATTTACGTACATATATGTTAAGCTTTATTTATGATAACACAAAGTGCAAGTTCAAACTTTGTAGCAAATGCCTTAATCGGTACAATAAAAAGCATTGGTAAAAGTAGCCCATCAATTAAATTTACATATGTAGATATAAAATATTAGCTTTAGCCAGCCAAAAAAAATCGGCCGGAATGCATGAACTTGGCAAAACATGCATTCAGGTAACGAATTTGATAAGATTCCCACTTAGTGCTACCTCCTACCGCAGTTTCATTACTTCAACTATTTACGAAAAAAAAATATTTAAAAAAAAAAATTATAAATGAAAATATTACGCACCAAATGCACTTAAAAACGTTATTTGTAAGAATCTCATTTAACTCAGTTACCGGGAATTTTATTCAAAGAGAAATCAGTGCCATATTCATATGGTAGCTTTAGTGGCATTATTACATAGAAAAGAGAATTATTTATTGTGATGATATCCCACAGTTACTTAATTAATACCTTTTATACTTAGTTAGATGCTGGTTGAATGGTGTCCCAGAAAAAACTGAAAAAAAATAAAGTAAAAAAATAACCTATAGAATTTTCAAAATAATTGTGCAACTTATAAATATTGCTAATCTATATTTAAAAAAAAAAAAAAAAAAAAAAAAAAAAAACAAAAAAA